TGAAAGATGGTGATTAAAAGCCAGGAAAAATGCATAAACACAATGCTACGAAGATCTTATGGGGAGCAAATGCTAAACGCATAAACAATCCAAATGTCATGCAAAAGAGAAATATGATACACCAGAGAATCCTTACTCAAGCTCTTTTGGAGAATTTTGTCGAACAGGTTACAGGTGAGCGAGAGAGAGAGAGATAGGGAGAGGAAGGCTGGGCTCTGTGAACCTGGGGATAGCGAGACAGAGGATGGGCTTTGGGTGTGAAAAGATAGAAGGGGAGAAAGAGATACCTGGAGCGCTATTGGGGTGGGTGTATTGGGGGGCTCGTGAGAGAGAGAGAGGAGGTGGTGAGGGGATGATGTTTGCGCAGTTAAGAGACCCTCGCCGCTTGTCAGCATGAAATTGGGAAAGTGAGTGAAGAGACCGAGAGAGAAGGGATGGTTTTGGCTCTGTGTGTTGCAGGTAGCCGTTGCTATGTGGGTTGGGTTAGGTTGGGTTGGGTTGGATGGGATGGTTTTGAGGGGGGAAATATAATGGGGATTAAATTCAAAGTGATAACTGTTTTATTATATAGATATATTATGTATACATTAATTTCATATAAAAATATAATGATAAAATATGTATTTATATATTTTTAAAAAAATTTAAATAAAAAATAAAATTTTAATTAAAAAAAAATATTTTTTTCATTTTAATTAGGGGTAAAAATTTTTGACTCAACACAATGACACGACATGAACTCGCACGAATTTTATGATACGAACATGATTATAATTCGACACGAACTTGAAAATGACCTAACATGCAAACAAGAAATATAAAAGGCTTATAATTTTATGACTCAACTCGAATTTAACACGACATGATTCGATTGTCACCCTAAATATTAGACAAAACAAATTTTAAAAAAAATTGGTCATTTTTATTTTTCATCCATCCAACCAAACACAAAGGAAGGAAAGTGTATTATTTATATTTTTCATTCTTAAAGAATAGAAAATGTATTCTTATTACTTTTTATTTTTTCTACCAAACGGAGGATTAATGAGGTTGTTCTTGACTTTTCTGTGTGGTATTTATTCTGGTTCGGCTCCTAGAATCACATCCAGCAGTGGTTTCGACATGGACTTGAAAAAAGACCCAAATCTTTTGCTTTCTCTACGCGGCTTATAAGTCTTGCTTATTGGTTGTTATTGGGGTATGCTTTTTTGGTCATGATTTTTGTTGGGGAAGGTTAGAAGTGATGAGTTACAGTCACACAACTCAGGTGATGTTGGAAGAGATGCTCCAGAAATAGAGGAGTTTGGTGGTGGTGGCAGCTTAGACATGACAATTTTTTTGTGTTACAATTTACACAAGAGGCATTAATTAGACTTGACAATTTTTCCTAAAGGCATTAATGCTCCAGGATGAAGTTCACAGTTGAACTGGTGAAGGTAGGAGGCACAACCCGACAGAAAGTATATAAATTGTGATATTGTTATAAGATTTGGCCTTATGTTTGTCAATGAAAGGAGACTAGTGAGTGATCATTTTTATATTTAAAGGTTTTATTTGTGTAGACTTACTCTTCCTTGAACCAAAATGGATGTTGGATGACAATTTTCATTATCATAGCTGAAGATTGGCTTCCATTTTCTTTTTTGTCTTAAAATCCAGACATATTTATGGCCTCCTTCTGCATTAACATGTTTGGATGGATTTTTGGTAAGAGATTAGATTGGTTTTACCAAACCCTTTCAAATTCAACTTCTACCCCCATCTTTGAGTACATGAGATTCAAAGATGAATCCAATCCATACCTATGTTTAGTAACTAAAATATATATCTGTGAAATGTATGAATTTATTATCATTATCATCATACATTGCTCATGTAAATGATTATTTTACTCATTAACCAATTTAATTCTTCCCAACTTATGATATCAAACATAAGTTCAAAACTCTGACCCTTTGTGTACGTAAGGTTTGGACCTAATACGACAAGACTACATTAATGGGGGAGTAAAATGGGTATTATTTGTACGTACTTATTTTCACTTAGATAAATTACTTTTATTTTAACGGGCTATAGATATATATATATATATATAATTATAATTATAATTGTTTATATTATTTTCAAACTAGCGGTTCCGCCTCATGCAACTCACGTAATATATACTTCGTTATTTTATTTTATTTTTTTTCACCAATTTCTTTTCTTTTTCATCTTATAACTTAAGAAGTTAGATTAAAAATTGTTAAATGTTATTAGGTAGTAAAGTAATTATGTTTGAATAAATTTTAAAAAATGATGATTAGTTAGTAGAGAGTTGAGAAGTGGTTACAAAAGACACATGGTATAATGTGATTGGATCATTGGAGGGAGCCTTAGTGTCATTTATGAAATAGAGATGAAAGACTCCACAAGCCTTCTCCCATCTAACTTATTTGTTATATATATATATACACACACACACACACACAAACTATAGCCTCATGCGATGCAAGAAATTTGCACACATTCTCTTTCCTCCTTGTCCTTCCCTTTTTTTTTTTTGTTTCCTATTGTCATCATACAATTTAAAAAATTAGATAGAAAATTAAGAAAAAATAAGGTTATAAAACAGTTATAAAAAGTTAGTGGTAAAACTATATTTTAAAAAAATTTAAATTAGTGACTGATTTTATAAAAAAATTCAAATGAGTAGTTTTTTTGCTAGGTAAATGAGTGATAATTAATTAGTGGAATAGAGAGGAAGTTACGTGAGATACATATTAGACTATAATTGGTTAAAATCATTCACAATAATTAAATAATTAAAATTTAAAAAAGATAAGAAAAGAAAAGAAAAGCAAGAAGGAAGATTTTCAAACCACCTTCCACCTAATTTGTTTGCTTTCCATATATAATATAGATAGAATATAGATATAAAAATAAAAACTACATAAAAGGTATTGAAAATTGAAGAATTTAAAAGTTATTGTAGTTTTTGGCAGCTGGCCCTGGCTCGAGACCCGAACCAACCTATGACCACTCCAACTCTACAGTTTATGGAAACAAAGATCACACTGCTGGCTAAAAACTTGTTACAAAGTCATCTTCTACAAACAGCAGCTTCTTCCAACAGTTCTACTAGGCCAAAAAAAGTTCCACATGAATTGCCTTCTGCTTTGAGAATTTATTTTTGTTCGAGCATTTTGAAAAAGAAAAAAAGAACAATAACTCCAAATTTAAGTTGGTATGCCCACACATTTATCTCTATCATCGCCGATTACAAACTGCCAAGGATGACTCTTCTCAAGATTATATCTTTGCAGCTTCAATGGGTCTCTTTCCTTGCTGATAATTTTGAAAAAAAATATCAACATAATTTTTCACCTTCTTGTACAACCTTGGCCTATTTTCACCGATGAGCTCCTCCACTGGTTGGACCTCTTTATCTGACCCTGGAGTACAAAACACAGCCAAAGTCATTCTCTCTCTTTCTGAGTTGGTCACAACCCTGTGCAGTGGGCTCTTGAACATTCCATTACTCATTATCTGCAATCACCATCAAGCAAAAGCTACAAGTTTTAACTATAAATTACTTTTTTTGTTAAAGGAAAACCATATCCTAAACAAACACGCTTTGGATGTGTTGCAACAATTTAGACTCTGGATGCACACAGCCATCTTGCCGATCCACATATATCAGGCAAGGGGACTAGGATAGGTATGACTCAAACTTGGTATCTCGAGGTGTCAACCCTTGAGATCTCATATTCGAACTAGCTGGCGGATTTAACTCTGATTTATTTTTTGTTTTTTAAAACTCTGATTACAATTGAAATTTTACTTCATTTTAATTTTGGAGTAGAGGCACGTGATGTTATCAAAGGCAGTCTAAATTACCTCTGCTTGATCTCCGACATTAACGAGAAGAGCATTGGGAACAATGGGAACTCTAAACCACTGATCATCTTTCAGGACTTGGAGGCCTTCTACTTCTTTGTCTTGCAAAAGAAAGGTAATGGCTGTTCCATCTGCATGTGGTTTGACACCAAGAATGAGATCAGGCCTTGGACATGGAGGATACAGGTTATACCTTGCTATCATCGTTGCTCGGTCGCCGTCGCCGTACTGGTTCAGAAAGCTGTTCTCCTCCAAACTCAATGACCTTGCCATGGCCTTGAGGATGAATTCATTCAACAATCCTAGTCTCACTGTATATTCATGTAAAGTTTCCCTGCAAGGTTAGAGACAACAAAGTTACCTTAGTGACGGTTGGATTAGAAAGAAAATAACAATAGAAAGTGAAGTTTAGAACTGTATGAAAATTTTGCTTACACTTTGGAATGCATGGAAGTTGCAAGAAAATCTTAAATACTGTTGGGTAACGTTTTCTGGACATATTTTTTTTCTTTTTTGCTTTTTTAAGTACAAGAATACTGTGTTTGGAAAGTATGAAAGTTAGCAGAAGAATCTGTGATTTTTTACAGGACAAAAGCTGGTTTATGAGAAAATTCATCGAATGTAAGAAAGTATCTATCTGATTTTCTTCCTTGTTCTGCCAACTCACTCTTGAGAAAAAAATACAAACATCTACATTTACAGTCACACACATCGATAGCATACATAGCACACAGAGAACAGACAGAGTTATGGGGTTCACGAGCTACATATCTGGCGCACGCCAATGTTGAATTCAATATAGTTTGACAGAACGACAGATTCAAGTTGACATTGTTTTTGGTAGCTGACATAATATATATGTACATAAAGTACTACGACAATTATTGATAAGAAAACACCATGGAAAAATACCCAAAAAAAGAAAAGATCTCTTTCTACCCCGAGGGGCCACCCTCAAACCTGATGCTACCTACTGACTCCGAAACAATCATGTTCCACACATAACAAAATTGTATGCTTATAACCAGTTTTGAGGCAACATTTTGAATTTACCTAAAACTTTCAGGATTTTTGGGCCAAAACTTGAGCTTCCTCTGATCCTCTGGATTTACTATAAGGTACAACCGGTCTGTCCAATCAAGAGTCTGGTTCTCTGAAAGAACTGAATCATTCCCATACCCTTCAATGTCATCAACTGTTCTCGAGTATTTCTGCTTCTCTTCTATTGGAAGTGCAAAGAATTGTTTGCCCACATTATGGACTTGGTCTAGGAATGAGCTTGTCATTCCATGATTTATAGCCTGAAATTGTACAAATCATGTAAGAACACTGTCCTGGTCTTATCTGAGGGACTAGATTCAGAATTTGCATTTAGAATCTAGGGTCTTAAGTTTTCACTCGCCAAGCTCCAGGTTGACCAGAGCTCAATTGTCGAGTTTAGATTCTTGCTCAAGCTTTGCTCAGTAGAAGCTCACGACCATTCCAATCGAACCCAAGTAGAAATTGAGCTTAATTTCTTAGTAAATTTTTAAAAATTAAAACTTTATAATCTATCCCATAGTAATTAATTTATCAATAAAACTCTCTTAGAATCAGTATAGTCATCTACAAGATCGAACAATAGAAGTTTAAATGATCTAAAAATCTGTTAGTGAATAGATAGAAATGGCATATATATAACCCAGTATGCAAATTGATATACCTGAAAGCAACCGCAAAAGTTGAGGGCTGAGTTGAGTTTTATGAGTTGTTCTTCTCCGGCGGGTGATGAAGATGAGAGGAGGCTAAGGTCGACAACTGGAACATCCAACACAGGAAGAGAGAGATCGATATTTCCCCCTTTGTAGATATATCTTTCTGGAAATTCATTTCTGCTGTTTTTGGCTAGTTCTTGGACAGGCTTGGATGGTGATTCTACTTCTACCATGGAAGGAAGGGTAGTTGCAGCCATGTCTATGCCAAAAGAAAGCTGTTAAAAAATGGGTTTAGGAGAGAGAAATGAAACGTAGATTGAGGTGTTTGAATCTAATGAATTTTGGGTTTTACCAAAGGATAGGCACATGATAGAAGCATAAGTGGATTAGTGCGCATTTTCAAGTCAAAGGAGCTCTCTCTCTCTCTCTCTCCCTAAAATTATTATTGAAGTTCAGTATGTGGGACATTGATTAATAACTTTGGGTTTGACTACCATTCCAAAAATACTGAACCAAAATGATGTTGGATGACAATTTTCATTATTATAGCTCAAGATTTGGCTCAAGTCGAGTTTTTTGAATCAATACTGAATCTGTTCTATCAAATGACGAATTTCGATAAAATGTCAAAAAATTATTGTGCGTAATTGCTAGAGAAAGTGGCAACCATGAGTCCAAAAAGTGTGTAGTTAGAAGGATTCCTCTCATGGAAAAAAAAATTGGTAGGTGAAGTGGCACACCTATTTTACATCTCAAGAACATTTTACAACTCGATATATGTTTTGGTTACGAAATTTGGTAACACAAACCCGACATAACACCAACAAATAGCAAGAGATGAAAATATTTCTAGAAATCTAGGGCCTGTTTGGTTTGCGTTTTCAAAAAATAGTATCCGAAAACAGTTTTTGAGAAGAGTTTTAAGAAAATAGTTTCATATTTTTGAGATAAAAAACTTGTTTAGTTAGATGATTTCAAAAATAATTTTATAATACAGAAAATAATAAAACCTGTTTAGACAGCCTAAATATATATTTGAACAGTAATTCAAACATTAATAAAAAATTTATTTTTATATTGACAATTTCATTATATATATATATACCTATATCTGAACATTCAAAATTGTTTTCCTTGTTTTCAAAATTTTCAAAAAAAAATCTGAAAATAAATTACATTTGTTTTCTGTTTCTTTGACTCAAATCTCATTTTTTTCCCAAAATTTAGAGAATAAAAACGCTAAATAAACAGATTTTGGGTGTTTTTAAAATTTTGAGAACAAAAAACTGTTTTACAGAAACTAACCAAACATACACCTATACTTTCACTGCATCAATTGGTCTTTTGCCCTGCTGGTAGTACTGGAAATAAGTGTCAACATAGTTTTTTACTTTCTTGTATAATCTTGGCCTCTTGTCATCAATGAGCCCCTCCACTGGTTCAACCTCCTTTCCTGATTCTGGACTACAGAAAATAGCCAGGCTGATTCTCTCCCTCTTTGAGTTGGTCACAACCCTGTGCACTGGGCTCTTGAAAATTCCATTACTCATTATCTGCAGGTATCATATAGCCAATCAAAGAATCTAATCTGAGTTGTTCATCCGTACTATAATCTTGCAACCCACAATTTACACGGTGATAAAGAACGAAATTAGCAGATTAGGATTAACTAACTATTGACACGAACTCGAGAAAATAATATTCAAGTTGAATTAGAGTTGAACAAAATAATCTATGTTCTAAATGAAATCCCTAAATTGGTATTATATGAAGAAAATATCTCATTTTTTATTATTTCCTTTTCTTAATATTGTCTTTTTCAAATACTTGTAGAACTAGAAGATTTTTTTACTGGTCTTGTTACCATCTAGATAGTTTATGGGGGACCTATGGTGATTTTTGTTGAGAGAAAATGCGATTCTGGTACTGTGTTTTCACAGGTTATGAGTGTCGATCCCCAGGCACGACAGCAACTATTACTTGACACGAACCCAATTGACACAATTCAAACACAACACAACCTGATTGAATTTCCATCCCTACTACTAATGACTGATTGACTTTCAAACAGTGGACAAACAAAGTGATTTTAACAGCAAAAACTTTTTAACTTTGTTCTGAATTAGTTGCTTAACTATGTGGTGAATGGCCACAGTTTTCTTCTAATCTGAAGCAAAATGTATTATGAGCTAATGCTTGTTACCTCTATTTGATCGCCAACATTTATGAGAAGTGCATGAGGCATTATAGGAACCCTCCCCCACTGGTCATCTTTCAGGAATTGAAGCCCTTCAACTTCTATGTCTTGCAAGACAATTGTAATTGCTGATCCATCTGCATGAGGTTTTAGGCCGAGAACAAGGTCAGGCCTCGGACACCGAGGGTAGAAGTTGAATCTTAGCTGCATAATTGCTGCATCTCCGTATTGATTCAAGAAACAGTTCTCCTCCAAGTTTAGTGACCTTGCCATGGCCTTGAGGAGGTCCTCTGCTATCAGTCGTAAATTGGTGGCATGTTCATGCATAGTTTCTCTGCAGAGGTATGCACATTATGTATAAGTTAACCTCATACAGTTTCTGATCACCAATTCAAATCAATTGAGTTCATGGTGATCTCAATATAGTTTGAAGAACCAAAGCATTTCTTTTATTGCATGTTTTTTCAACCCTGCCTCATTTTTCACCCTAAAAATGTCATGTCAACACTAAACCAGTTATGTCACTTTCAAAATTAACGGGGAACCAGATATCTGTGGCATTTTTTTCCAAAAAAGCTAATAAACTACTAGGCAGCATTGTTGATATCTAGATTATGAGTTCTCTGTCACAGTTGGAATGAAAAAATTACCTAAAAACTTCAGGATTTTGAGGCCAATAGTTGAGCTTTCTCTGATCTTCAGGATTTACTGTAAGAAACAACCGATCGGTCCAATCGAGAGTTTGATTATCTGAAAGAACCATGTCATTCCCATACCCTTCAATGTCATCAGGTGCTCTGGAGTATCTTTGCTTCTCTTCCATTGGAAGTTCAAGCAATTGTTTGGTAACATCTCGCACTTTGTCAAGGAAAGAACTTTCTATTCCGTGATTTATTGCCTGAAACTCAAAAACTAATTCTCAGAGCTCGAGGACCAAAAGAAGCACCAATCAATTGATATGAGAAATCCATCTTCTTTTTTTTTCTCTATAGTAATCAACGAATAATCAACAATTATAACTATTGAATAATGCATCTGCACGGATGTTCATCGGCCCCTTTTTAACTCTTTTCATTTCTGACTGACTGACTTAAGTCTTGGAGGGTATAAGTCGGGTGTTCATCCGGCCCTTTTTTGGACTCTTTTTATGTTTAAGGAATAAGGAATTATTTCACGCTCACGGTGCCAAGGCTATCTCAATCTATTGCAGGACCATGCCCGTGCAGCATCTATAGGAATGGGGATCGACAAGAAGCTCTAACAATAGCACTATATAACCCCTACTTTTAACAAGGATTGACCATTGACCTTTTGGTTCTCTTGAGCAAAACCAAAGGTGACTAACCATACTATGCAAGGTTGAAAATTTAAAAAAAAAAAAAAAAAACCATTTGGATGAACAATATTAATAATTTCATAAGCAAGGTAAAAAATTCCTCAAGTTCCATATTTTCTCTATCCAAATATCTGTAAAACTCATGTTTGTTTGCACATGGAATTACCTTTTAGTTTTAACTCAAGAGCTTCCCACCCAGACCTATCTCAAACAGTTGGGTTGCAGTTTATTTTCCTATTACTTATACAAGAAATAGTGAGTTGGTAGCTTTCTATAAGCTTTGGCTATCTATTTCTGTAAACAAGTTTTTCCTTGATCTACCCTACTTAGCTTCAGAACTAGTCAACTAGGCTTCTACAATTTGGTTGCTCAAATGATCATTTACAGGCAAAAGACACATTTTTTTTTTTTACCAATCAAACTATGTACGAATCTTGGGGTCCACGGTGTCTGTAAAGCAAGTTAATGGAGAGAAGCTGAAAAACCAGACCTGGAAGCAACCCCATGAGCTGAGAGCTGATCGCAGATTTTCAAGTTCTTCTTCTCCGGTGGGCGATGAAGATTTGAGACGCCCGATATCAATAATCGGCATATTCATCAGTGGAAGGGAGGCATCCATGACTCCATAGTCGCTGTCTTTATAGATGTACCGTTCCGGTAGGTCATCGCCGGTGATGACCAGTTCTTGGACTGATGTGCACCCTAGTTCTGCTTTGGTACGTGGGGAAGTTCCTGCCATGTCGTCGCCGGTGATGGCTAGTGATGTGAAGGTTGGTGGACCGGTGATTAACAATGTCAAGTCAAAGGTTTGAGGCTGGCCGACGATGAACATATGGGCAAGAGCAATGCTACTTGATAACATTTGTCGTTGATTTAATCGTAGAGTAATGATATTTGAATCTAGATCTAATTTCTTAACGAGATAATGACGTGGTTTAATATAAATTATTAGATTAATATCAAATTTTAATATTTGATGAGGTCTATAATCAATTCAAAAATTATAGTTAATTAGATTAACAAATTAAGTTAAATTTTTAGATCTCAATAACATTAATCTTAATTGTATATCTCAATATTTATTGAACTGATTATTTATTTGATAATCGTGATATTGAGCCCATAAATAGTGTCAATATTTAGCTCCAAATAAAAAAAATTTAATGCTCTGTTTGATATGATAAAAAAAATAGAAGAATAGAAACTTTAAATGATGAAAAGTTAAAAGGATAAATAAAACATCATATTTTGGTAAGGAAGAAAAATATGAAGGATGAAAAAGTGGATGGATTAATTTTTTTTCCAACTAGTCAAAATCAATCCCTCCAAAATCGGAAATAAAGTTGATAAAAATTTAATTATTTGTGTTGAGATGTATCTTATTTGCTTATATATCTTTTGATATATACTTAGATTATGTATACATTAATTTCATATAAAAAAAATGATAAAATATGTATTTATATATTTTTAAAAAAAAATTAAAAATAAAAATAAAAACAAAAATTTTAAATTAAAAAATATATTTTTTCCATTAATTAAAAATCCGAATTTATTTTTTAATTAAAAATAAATCTGCACGAATACAAATATGAATACGATACGAAAACAAACAAATCAACTCGTAACTCGACATGACATAATTAATTAAATGAGTTGAGTTAGATTTGATTAATGCTCGACACAAACTCGTAATAATTCAACATGAATCTGACACGACACAACTGAATTGTTACCCCAAATCTTAGCTATTCCAAAAAAAAAAAAAAATTAATTATTTTTATTTTTCATCCATCCAACCAAATACAAAGAAAAGAAAGTGTATTACTTTTACTTTCCTTCCTTCAATGATAAAAAGTATATCCTTATATATATATATATATATAACTACAATGATAAAATATATATTTATATGTTTTTTAAAAAATTAAAAATAAAAAAATAAATATATATATATATATTTTTCCACTAAACACAAAAAAAAATTATTTTTTATTTTCCATCCATCCAACCAAAAACAAATGAAAGAAAAAATGTACTTCTACTTTCTATCCTTTCTACTAAACGAATCATTTATAAAATTGATTGACATTAAAGAGTTTGTTAATCAATGATTTTTTTTTTGAGCTGCAAAAGACGGAAAAATTTATTCAAATAAGAAAATTTTGGTTACAATCAGACGAGAGCAAAGTCATAAACTCAAGCCGGGGACAGCTGACCCAATTCACAGCAATTGAATCAGATAAAACCGATGTTGCCACCCAGTGAGTCCTATTTAGAACTCTTGGCTTGTATAAGAAGCTAATATCAAGGTGTTTAGCAAAAACTCTAATGTCTGTCATAAAAGTTAATCAATGATTAAGATATTGAGATTTATGCAGATAATATGATATTTTTTGGTGAGAAAAAAAATCTTGGGATAAATTTTATAATATTAATTTTTTTTTAATTGGATATAATATTGAATTAAAATCTTGATCATTATTATGTTTTTATAAATTAAAAATTTAAGTTCTTAGCTGTAATATTATATACATATACATTTTTATTATTTTTGCCAAAGTCCGACGATAAGTATATGATGGACGCAAAAATGGACTTGTTTGGTCTAAATAAAGTTAAACCGAAAAAATAAAGAGGCGGCGCGTAGGCCAGATTCCTACGATTTTTTTTGTACGGTATCCAAAAAATAATTGATTTTATAAATTAAAAATTTATCTCTCTCTCGTTGGACTACTATGACCCTCTATACCTCCACTGCAAGTTGGTCCCTCTATGCTTCACTGCAAATGGGTTCCTTCAGCCATAGTTGATGGATTGGGTCAATGGGTCTGTTGGATCAATTAATTAGACCGTATAATAAAAAATAAATAAGTTAGGAAATTATAATTATTAGAAAGATAACATGTTTAATATAATTATAGATCAAATAAAAAATACGAAAAGAAATTCATAATTTATTAATTTCTTAAATACTTAAAAGATTTAAAAGAGCATAAAAAAAATTACACCAAGAAAACTACCATGAGAGTTGCCACATATTTTTTAATCTCGAACACGAGGCAATATAAGTTTTGGCCATGGAATTTGTCAACACAAACCCAACATAACACTTACAAATAACAAGAGATGAAAATAGTTCTAGAAATCTAAACCTTCACTGCATCAATTGGTCTTTTCCCTTGCTGGTAGTACTGGAAATAAGTTTCAACATAATTTTTCACTTTCTTGTATAATCTTGGCCTCTTGTCATCAATGAGCTCCTCCACTGGCTCAACCTCCTTTCCAGATTCTGGAGCACAGAACATAGCCACAGTGATCCTGTCCCTTTCTGAATTTGTCAGCACCCTATGCACTGGGCTCTTGAAAATTCCATTACTCATTATCTGCAGGTATAATATAGTTCCTTAACTTTGATTTTGTTCTGAATTAGTTACATTGGTCTAATCTGGAGCAAAGTTTATAAGAATAGGCTTGTTACCTCAACTTGATCACCAACACTTATGAGCAGAGCATGAGGCATGATGGGAACTCTAAACCACTGATCATCTTTCTGGAATTGAAGACCTTCAACTTCTTTGTCTTGCAACACAATTGTAATTGCTGATCCATCTGCATGAGGCTTTAGGCCGAGAGCAAGGTCAGGCCTTGGACACCGGGGGTACAAGTTGAATCTTTGAAGCATAATTGCTCGGTCTCCGTATTGGTTCAAGAAGCAGTTCTCCTCCAAGTTTAATGATCTTGCCATGGCCTTGAAAAGGTCCTCGATTAACTGTTGTAAGTTCTTGGTGTATTCAAGTAAATTTTCCCTGCAGAGGTACGCGCATTATACTTAACATTACATAGGTTTTTGTGCGTGCACGATCCTGCACAATATAAAAAACGGGAACAGATCTTTTCCCTAGTGAACTCGAGGCCCTGGGAAAGAAGTGACGGTCCTGTAAGGATAAAAAGGGTCCCTGGAACAAAGAAGAAGAAGTTAGAAGGGCGCCGGAATGTTTTCCGGCGTATCCCCTCCGACGGTCTAGTCAGTCTTTGAGTGAAGAGAGAGGAAGGAGAAAACACTGAGGAAAATGTATTGTAGTGGAGAGTTTTTGGTTGCATACCTCCTTTGTCCTTTGGGAGGAGTATTTATACCTTAAAAGCTCATGATTGCTGCCAGTATGGTCAGTAGGTGATCATTAGGCACAGGTTGGGTGTGCATTGATTGAGGAGTATCTTCTCTAATTGACTGCTCGGGGTCCCGAGCAATCAATGCTGAGTCGTCGGGATGCCGACGGTACAATATGCTCCTTTCGGGGAGGATGCAATAAATGCTCTTTCATATCCGAACCTTACCGCATTGAATGCGGTCTCGTCAACAGAAGGGTGCAATTAATTGTTTGCTTTCCCAAGCCGTGTGTCAGTAACGGCGTGCAATTTGATGTGACATTATTTGTCACACGTCCATCCCCTATTGACTGTGACTACTGTATTCCGGCATATTCTGACATTACTTGTGTAAGACGAGGTCATGATGAGCAGCCTAGATTTAGCCTAGGCTAGTGACCTATACGTCAATAGCTTATCCCGGAGTAGAGGAAGCGTCCAGGATGGAGCAACCCTCGGCACCGAGGAAAGGCTCATCTCGGGGACCGAGGGAGGTATGCGACCGAGGTACATGGGTGACCGAGGACACGTGTTGGTTGTACAATATACTGAATGCATGCCCTGTATGAGGTACCTCGGGGGCGAGGACATTCGTTCGCTGATGGTGCTTGATCCAAGCAACAGTGTTTTAGCAAAACTGAGGACACGTGTCTTCATCATAGGGCATTTCAGAAGAGTCCCATCAACTGCCCCCCAGCCTTCGATCTTCTGACACTGAGGACACGCATTGTAAGGAGACGAAGGGTTTCCCAACTACCACCCGTCCTTCATCATGGCCTTGAGCCGCTTTCCCTGGTTTGGGATATCGTGCGCATTAAATGCGCCGTTTCGGTCTTCGCGTCCAATGATGAAAATTTCCCCTATATAAAGGGGGTTCCTCTCCGGTTTCCTTCGTTTTGCCATTTCAAACTTTCCCCAGAGTACCTCTTCTTGAATCTTCGCCGGAGTTCTTGTTTCTTCTGCCATCGTCGACTGCCCTTTCTCTCAAAATCACAGAGCCAGCAGACCCATTGTTGATTCCTGAACTTCCTGGAGGGAGTTGTTTTAAAGTTTTTTCCAGAAAAACTTCATTTTTGACGTTCGGGTGAGTTTCAGAACCTTCTTTCTTTTCGTCCTCCTAGCCTTTTTGTTTTCCGATTGAATGGTGGTGTCATCCGGTCGACACGTCGTGATTTAAACCCTCAGGAAACTTCCTCGGGTTTTCAAGAACAAATACCCTTTTCTTCCTTTTCTTTTAGAGATGCCTCGCCGTCGCCCTACTCCCGAGAATCTTCGGGCTGGTTCCTCGGGGTCAGGGAAATATAAGGTAAAAGGCGACGAGCAGATCGATAGGTTTAGGGCCAAGTATGACATTCCTCTGTTCGTAGTCGTAGAGGATCCCGACCCGGTGGTGCACTCTTCCACCTTCGGGGTCGAGGATGCCATGCCTTTCTATACCAAGGCGCCATCATAGAGGGTGGAATTAGGTTTCCTTTACCCCCCTGCTTCTTCAGTTCCTCTCTCATTTCCGCCTCTTCCCCGGGCAATGCTGTCTCAATGTCTTCCGAATAATCATGGGGGTTTTAGAACTCAATAGGCGCCTCGGGGTAAATATCGGGCTCAACGACCTCCTGTTTTGTTATTCCCTCCTTAGGGTCATGCCTCACCAACACTTCTACCTCAAAGCCAGGGACCCCTCCATGTACCTTATAACCCACCTTCCTGACTCGGACAAAGGGTATAAGGACGATATCCTCATCTTCAAGGGATCTTGGCAGAGAGGTGTCGGTCCCGAGTATAATCACTTCTTTTGCCCTCTGGAATGGAGAACGACAAGTACGTCGATTTCTCTGGGTTTATTACTTCTTTCCCCAGATTTCTATGCTCATGACAATTTTTTTTGTGCAGGTATCTCTGCTCGGGAAACAGCTCCTCCCCCTCGGTCGCTGGTGAACTTTGCGGACCTAACCACGGTTTGGAGATTCACAGGTGGCGACGGATTTGGCCGAGCTGCCCACGTCCTGCTGAACTATACCCCAGGGTATAAGAAATTTTCTCAGCTTCCTCAGCCTTTTGATCCTTCTCGGTGGTCTGAACTCTTCGATCAGGCGGCGAGGTTAGAGGTTGAGGAAAACTTGGAGGAAGACCCGGATCGGGCCTCGGAGGCAGAGGTAGAGGGAGTTGCTGAAGAGGTCGGGGTCAGAGAGGACGTTGCTCCTTCGTACGCCGAGGTGGGGACTCCGGGAGGAGACTTGCGGTCTGACTTTCAAATTCTTCAATCTCTGGACGCCGAGGACGCGCTTGAAGTTGTGATGTCAAACACTCCTCGTATTGACCTCGGGTTCTTAAGGCAGAGGCAGACCCTTGCAGCTGGGAGAGGTCGAGGAATGACCGGAGGCACCCCCTCTGCAGGGACCAGTTCCACCCCATCATCAAGGGTCCTTGGTCGGGGTCAAGTACGAGACCGGGACCCTCAGGTGGAGGAGGAAAGAAGGGTCAAGCACCGACATGACGGTCCTGGCCGAGGATCCAGGGCACCTCCTGCTCAGCAGCAAAGCGGGAGGGGCCGTGGATTACCGCCTGCTCCTCCGCAACAGCAGCAGCAGCAGCAGACCCGACAGCAGCAACAACAACAGCAGCAACAACAACAGCAGCAGACTCCTCCTCCCGTTCCGGCTCTAGTGGAGGCCGCGGAGTGGAATCCCCGAGCCACTATCATATGAACCGAGTGATCAGGGTCGACGATTCTATTCTGTCGGATCCTCATGTCGCAAATACAGTGAGTGAGACACTGCATTTTGAGGCCGACATGGAGGCTCATAGGGGGCGATTAACCAACGTGTTGTTCCACTCCATCATCCAGAACTCCCTGGTGGTGAGTTTATTTTTGCTTTGGTTTCTTCACTCTTGTTTTCCATTTTTGTGATTAACACTTTTTCGTTCCTTTGCAAGCTACCCAGCAGATCTCCATCATAGCTGCTCGGTACCACGGGTCTAGGATGGACCTCCAGAGGGCCCGAGGCCAGAAGGAGGAGGCGGAAGCGGCCCTGGCCCGGGCAATAGAGGATGTGGCTGCCAGGGATTCTACCTTGGCGGGGCAGGCTGCTCAAATAGAGCAACTCCTCAAGGACGCCGAGTCGGCAAAGGTTGGCGCTGAAAAGCTAAGTGCCGCCCTTGCCGATGCTGAGAGGAGGGTTACCGAGCAAACGCAGCGACTTTCTGCTGCTGAGAAGAGGGCTGTGGGCTCTGAGGAAAGCTGTCTGGCCCTTACCCAGGAGCTGGACAGGATCAGGGCCGAGGAGCTGAACCGAAAATCGGAGGAGCAACTTCGGGAGGAGTTTGCCGATGATGTGCTCCCTGCTTTTGAAGAAAATAGTAAGGAATTCTTCAAGAAAGGGTAGAACGAGGCGCTCCAGTCTGCTGGGATCTCCTCAGACTCCCCGCTCTTCCGAATGCATGAGTATGTCCCCTCGGCAGAGATGGCACGGGCCGAAGCAGAGGTCGCTGCCGAGGATGAGGCTCCAACACCTGTGCAAGTCCCGGTGGATCTGCCCGAGCCGGTGATAGTGGATCTGTCCGAGGACGCACCGTCGGACCATGCCCTTGATCCTGAAAATGCCCCCAGTATTCCTGTTGCCGAGGTGTTTGTCCCGCCTGCTCCAGAAGCTTCTCAGTCATTCTTTGCCGACTCGCCCTCGGCTGATGTCCTGGAGATGCCTGGAGGTCGATGAAAGTCTTTTTCTTTCTTTTTGATTGTATCTTCTTTTGCTTTCTTTTGTAGCCTTTGGGGACGCAAAGCCCCTTTTTCTTGAAATGAAATCACAAGTATTTCTTTCCTTCTTCTGTGTACAGTAATGTTTTGCTTTTCTTTACTTCTGTGTAGAATAAATCATAAGTATTTTTGAACTGTCTTCGGGGCGTGCTGGCCCGTTCCGAAGGCAAGATCTTGTGTCTACTCTGGGGACTGGAGTCCTTGTACTTTGTTCCCAGGGCCATGTCCTTTATGGAGGCTTGCTCCTGTATTTGTTTCGGGGATAGAAGTCCTCGGACTCTGTCCCCAGGGCCATGCCCTTGCAAGAGGCTTGCTCCTGTTTTTGCTTCGGGGACGAGAGTCCTTGAACTCTGTCCCCAGGGCCATGCCCTTGCTGGAGACTTGCTCCTGTTTTTGCTTCGGGGACGAGAGTCCTTGAACTCTGTCCCCAGGGCCATGCCCTTGTAGGAGGCTTGCTCCTGTTTCTGCTTCGGGGACGAGAGTCCTTGAACTCTGTCCCCAGGGCCTTACCCTTTATCTTCGTCGTTGGAAAGCACTTGAGGGAGAGGGTACTTCAAAAGTAATACTTCTTTAGATTCATAACATTCCATGGTCGTATTACAAGTTTTCCACTCATGTCTTCTAATCCGTACGACCCGACGCCTCCGATTGATATCACTTTGTAAGGCCTTTCCTAGTTCGGTCCCATCTTTCCTTCTGTTGGATCCCGGGTATTGGCTGTTACCCTTCTGAGGACTAGATCGTCTATCCGGAATTCTCGAGTCTTGACCCTCCTTTTGTATAGTTGGGAGATCTTCTCTTGATACTTGGTTATCCTCAAGGCGGCTTCCTCCCTTCTTTCTTCCACT